ATTGATTTCCTTGCAGTAATATTTTTTTAGTAGGTGACCGGACGGAGTTTTCCAAAGGAATTGAACCGGAGAATCTCTGTCAATCTGTCAATCGGAGAAAGTTTGCAATTGGAGAAAGAAAGAAGTCAAAAAGAGAACATAATTTAAGTTTGAATTGATGGTATTTGTAATTAATGACTTGAAAGAGAGAAATGTAATTAATAATTTTTTTATTACTATAAATGTAATTAAAAAATATTTAAAAAAAAACTTGACATACCCAAATTATCTTAGTTTAGAGGGGTTGTAAAAAATAGCTACCCAATAGGTAATCACTGTATTCCATCCCGTTTGATGGAATTTGTAACTTTAGCAAAAAAAAATCCAAATTTGTTTACGCCAAGGTTATATCTTGATTCACAATCATAATGTGGATGAATTATGATTTTGGTTTCATTTGTACTGTCCATTTGGTTCATAATTAAAATCGAATATTGTGTGTAGATATTATGTATTATTCAAGGTGAATCAAATCCAATTTATCTAACACTAACAAACCCATGGTAAGACCATCCACAATGATCATAGGAAAAAGAATGTAATTTGGGCTTAGAGGAGGGTTTGGTCACAATGGCAAGAGGGGGCAATGATCATAGGAAAAAGAATGTAATTTGGGCTTAGAGGAGGGTTTGGTCACAATGGGAAGAGAAGGAAAAATGATAATTGGTAAATGTTGTTTTTTGCAAAATCAAATTAGTGTTGAGTTCGTCATTTTATTTACATAATTTGGTCATTATTTTTTATAGTTAATAATAATTAATTAATACAAACATTTTGATATAATTATTTTAATTTGGTCATAATTTGCTCGCTTTATTCAGAGATGTCTATTGTTGATGAATAAAGAGGGTTTATTGATGAATAGAGATGTGGATTGAAAGGGTGAGATAGAGATATGCATTATTTGAATACAGAGAGTTTGTTGATAAATAGATATGTGCAAAAATGAGTTCTATTTATAGAAAAGGAAAAAATATGACAACTGAAAAATATAATCGTTGGAAAATATGGTCATTGATAGAAAAAATAAGTATAACAAACAAAATACAAAATAAATAAAGAAAACACAAAAAAATATTGTGTCGCCAGCTCGCCCAAATCGCTTGTAACTTTTTTCTAAGAAAATATCATCCCTTTTTACTATTTTTCCTTCAGTCCTTCTTTCCTTTTTTTCTCATTGTTGCGAGATTTGGATTCTTGAGTCTCTTTAGTCTCTTGGATTAATCTATTCCTTATTCCGTCTTTCCCCCTTTATTGTAAGAATTTGGACCAATCTTATCACTTTTTAAATCGATATCATATATTTTGCTAGTATAATTTCTTTATGTTCTCATTTTCGTTTTTCGACTTAGTTCCTTTGTTTTTCCTTATTTCCATACACACTAGTTAAAATAACATATTTAATCTTTTCTCCAATGAAATTTAATTTAATTGTCCTTTTTTTTTTATGAATCGGCGGGATCTTTATTCATAAAAAAAAAAGTGTTTTTGCTAGCAACACCCTTGCTAGCTAGGGGAGTATCGCCATACAACGGCTAAGACAGCAATGAGACAATAAAAAATGCAAAACCAACCTCTGTGACAGATTAAGCTAGTCATTCCAAAATAGATTCACCATATCTCTCCCAAGTACGTACACAATCTCAGCTTTCATACCAGATATCAGCTCTTGCAAACCCCTCACCTTATCACCATATAGTCGACGGCATCTTTCTCTCCAAGTCTGACTGATCCATGTTTGCCAGATAAACCTACCTGTTTCAGCTTCTTCTGTTTGCTTATTATACTTCTCCAACAGCCATGAAAGCATGGCCTCCCATGTTTGGAACTCGGGGACCTGCATAGGACCTGTAAACAACGCATCAAGAATCTGCCTAGCAAAGGGGCAGAGAACAAAAAGATGCTGTCTATTTTCAACTCCTCCCCCACAAAGAACACAATTCAACGATCCCTGGAAGCCCCATTTTCGCATTTTCTCCTTAGTTTGTACACTTCCTCTGATTACCAGCCAAGTAATCAGTCGATTACTTGGTATAGCCACACCCTTCCAGATTAGTTTCCACCAAGTAACCCTCTGCTGAGCAGGTCTAACAAGCTGCCAGACTCGTTTTATAGAGAATCGAGGCATTGGTAACCCATCAAGTAATAAAACACCATCCCTATTTGAAATAAAAGGAGCTATTCTGCTTCTGAGCTTCAGAATTTTGCACCAATTCCAGGATCCTGAAGTGAAGTTATAGGACCAGAAACATCTCCCCTTTAGTTTATATTTGGTGATCCATGCCACCCACAAAGATCCCTCTTGGAGCAAAATCTGCCAAATATGTCTTGTAGCACAGGCCTGATTCCAGCTATTCATGTCCCTAAAACCAAGGCCTTCTTCCCTTTTAGGATAAGTAATTTTCTTCCATGCAACATTAGCTCTAAGCTCCACCCCTCTTTCCACTCCCCATATGAAGTTACTGCATAATCTCTCTACTTCTATAATCACATCTTTAGGTAAAAGAAAGACAGACATCCAGAATTGGTTCAAACTGTAGAGAACAGTACCCACAAGCTCAATTCTCCCTGCATAAGATAATGATTTTGCTTTCCAAGTCGTAATTTTTGCAACTATCTTCTCTATAAGTGGTTTACAGGCTGTTAAACTCAACTTGCCAGCTATCAGTGGAACCCCCAAGTATCTAACATGGAATCCCCCCAATTGATAACCATATCTCTCAGCTCTAATTACCCTTTCTCCCTGAGATAACCCTCCAAAGAATAGTTCACATTTACTAGGGTTTGACTTCAATCCAGAAAGTTTCCTAATCTGAACAAGAATTCTCTACAACTCCTGTATCCCATAATTGGATGCATCAGTAAAGACCAGCAGGTCATCAGCGAAACAGAGGTGGGTAAGTTTCACTCCTTTGCACATTGGGTGGTATGGAAACCTCCCAGCAGTAGCCGATTGATCAATCAGACAAGTAAATATCTCCATGGCTACTGCAAATAGGTAGGGGGACAGGGGATCCCCTTGCCTAAACCCTTTCTTGGCTGGAAAATAACCAACTAAGCCCCCATTGAAACACACACTCAACATTGGGGTACTGACACACATCCTTATCCAAGTAATAAATCTATCTGGGAATCCCATACATTTCAAAACTTGAAAGATCAAGGACCAGTCAACTGAATCGAATGCTTTCATTAGATCGATTTTTAAAGCACATCTAGGGAAAATATTAGTATGAGAATATTTGCTGACTAGTTCATGAGCCATTAATATGTTTTCCCCTATCATTCTCCCTTTAACAAAAGCAGTTTGGTTTTTGCTGATCAGAGGAGGGAGCAAGGGACTTAACCTATTAGCAATAAGCTTAGAAATGCATTTATACAAAATGTTGCAACAAGAGATTGGCCTGAAGTTTCTCATATCATCTGGATTTGGTGTTTTAGATCAAGGTGAGAATAGTTGCATTCACTTGTTTAGGCACCCTATCTTGTTCAAAGCAAAATTGAATAGCAGCAGTTACCTCGGAGCCAATGATTGGCCAAGCATACTGAAAGAAAGCCGCAGAGAAGCCATCTGGACCAGGACTCTTATCTCTGTCCATTTTAAATATAACATCTTTAATCTGCTGCTCTGTGAAAGAGTCACAAATATCTTCAGTTTGTTCCTCATTGAGCTTCCACTTTAGCAAACCAGAAATATACTCATCTGTTTGAATTTCAACCTCAGGATCAGACACACCAAGCAATCTTTCATAGAATCTAACAGCAATTTGAGACATTTCTTCCACTTCCTGAATTTTTTCCCCTTGCTCATTTTTCAGAACCCTTATTGTACTCCTCTTCTGTCTGGTTTTGATGGATCTGTGGAAATATGCTGAGTTTGAGTCCCCAGTCCTCAACCAAGTTTCCTTTGACTTCTGATGGAGGAAAGATTCATCATCATGACTCAGTGCTCTTAGTTCCTGTTCCAGCCTTATCATGTTGTCAAAGTTATCAGTAGATGGGTTTAGTAATGCCTGCTGTTGCATCAGTTGAACTTCAACTTCCTTTGCTTTAACTCTTTCTCTTAAGTCTGAATACTCCTCCCTATTGAGCTTCCTCAGCATATTCTTTAGATTCTTCAGCTTCTTGCACACTTTAATGAGAGGGTGACCTGTCACCTTGCTATTCCATGCCTCTGCTAGCAATTCATCAAATTTTGGATGTTTCAACCAGAATTTGAAGAATTTGAATGGCTTCGGTAATGATTTCATAGAGGCACAGGTGTCAACATATAGTGGACAGTGGTCCGAGACTCCAGGAGCTTGAATGTGAACCTTACTGTCCTTAACCAAATCTAACCAAGCAAAGTTAACCAGAACCCTATCTAGTCTCTTAGCAATTGGATTGGCAGCTTGTTTATTTAACCAAGTGAACCATGGCCCCGTTGCTTGATGCTCTTCTAGTTCAAGATCATTGATCCAGTCATTATACCCCATCATTCGAGAATCCACTATAGGAGAGTTTGAGGCTTCTGAAGGAGTTCTAATATCATTAAAGTCACCCAAGACAATCCAAGGAGCCTGAGTCACATTAATTCTTCTCAGTTCATTATATAACTCCCTTCTGCTAGCTTCCTCATTTGAAGCATAGACAAGTGTTAAGAATACCTGTAGCCCACCAACCATAAACTGTATGTACTGATCAGATGAGTGCAAAAGAGTGAGCTGAATGTCCTTTTTCTAGAGAAGCCAAACTTTCCCCAGACCATTTGAATTATGTTGAATCTTCATCTTCCAATCTGGGAATCTCTTCTCAACTAGCTTATCTGTCTCAGAGGATCTTATTCTAGGTTCTAGTATTGCAACTATGTCTATATTATACTTATTTATCTTCTTAAGTATATATGTGTATTTACCTTCTGCTTTAAACCCCCTCGTGTTCCAGGTAAGGATTTTCATCTCTTACCTCTTCCCCTTCCACCTTTACCTTCCACTAACAGACTCATGCCCACCAGCAGCAGAATTCCCACCTACAGGTGGTGATCCCATCACTATCTGAGCAAAACTAAGCGGAAAGCCCCTATTTGAGGAAGGAGCTTGAACAGCCACACTCGTTTCAGTTGCACTAGTCTCACCTTCAGGGTTTGGATCTTTGTCACCGACTCCCCCTAGTGTTGTCTCCATTGTGACATCAGTATTCTCAACTTCCACAGCATTAGTTGCCTCTGTAACACCCCCAGTTTCCAGCCCCTCTATCAGCAGCTTAACCATTTCACCACCATCAGCAGGGCCCTCTTTGTTCTGCAATTCCCCATTCATTCCATTTCCATGAACCCCCTCAGGTTGTTGTACCTTGTCTTTGTCCACTATCCCAACTACCTGTCCCTCAGTGACCAATTGCTCTTGTTCACCCTCATTTGCAATTTGCACTTCCTTAACCTTCCACTGTTTCACTGGCTCTTGTGCACAACTATGCCCAAATAAGCAACACTTCGAACACACTTTCGGTAGGTGTGAGTATTCCAGACCAATTTCGAAATCAGGATCGTTGTCAGGGTAAAACCTGGCTTTATCAGGGAACCCACAATATGCAGCAACTTCAACACAGACTTTCGCAAACCCCAGCTGAGTGCCTACCCTAGTCTTCTGGTCAGTCCAGAGCGGCTTCCCAATCACACTTGCAACCCATTCAACCCCATCACTACCCAAATATTCAAGAGGCAATCCCCTAATCGTGACCCAGATCGGTAGCATAGCAACCTTTGGCACCACTGGTTGAATGCCCACTTCCCACTTCCGGAAAAAATCGGATTCCCCTTGAAATGCCACGGCCCCGAAAAGTGAAAACCCACTCACACGAAGAAGGAGAAGGAAACTGGAAGATCAGAAGCTTCTGACCAAACCGCGATACCCTCACAATACCGTCTCTCCCCCATAGCTTGTTTGCCCATGACTGGAGCTCAGCAACCTCTGGACGCTTCCCGACAAACTGACCCACTAAAGAATAGCGCCATCGTTCAGCACCCTTCTCCTTAACCTCTTTCGGAATACGAAAGCCATCATTGACTCTCTCTGGGGGCCTGAAGGTAAGTCGCTTTTCTGGAGCAACAACAAAGAGACTCACCCAGGAAGAAGAGCCCTCACCAGCCGGGAGAGCCGTCGAGGCGGCCATCGCCAATTTAGGTTTTCCTCAGAGAATAGAAAGGAGAGAGAAAGAAGGAGAGTGTGTAATAAATTTCAAACAAATATATTTTTTATATTTTTGGCATATGTTTTTCATTTTAAATAATAATAAAATAATTCATTAATTTTATCAATCAAAATGCATTTTATTTATTTTAAGTCAAATTTAAAATAATATAAAAATTAACATTGATCAACCAAAAATATTTAATTCAATATTTTGTAAGACATTACAGTAAGTTTCATTTTGTAGTATAATTATATGACTATAGATCTTATCAGTAGTAAAGATGCTGGTAGGTGGTTACTACAAATGTTGAATGCTAATAGGTAATAATTGCAACTGTGACAGTTTTCATTTTTAATGCTCTCCAACACTGCAAAATAATTATGTTTGCAACTTTTACATGGAGAACATTCACTCGTCTACCAAATGAGACGAAAACTGTCTTTGTTACAAGACCATTTTGTAGCACTAAATACTTGTTAGATATCTTCTTTATTTGTTTTGTAGTATATATGATTTTTATTATATTTTTTTATTTATTTAAAATATCTTTGATTTAATTTGTGTCAATTATTAAATTAAAATATTACTTATTCTCTTTCTTTTCCTTTTTCCACTTATTATTAGACTTTGCACCAATCTTTTCCCTTTTTCCCCTTGTTGTGGGTGTTCTGAATTTTATAGTGTCACTTTTTGGGTGTTCAAAATTTTTCATTTATCACTTTTTTTAAAAATGATATTATTATGTTCTCATTTTCATTTTCATTTTCCGACTTTATTCTTTTATATTTTTCTTCATTCCATACACACTAACTAAAAACACAAATTTAATCTTTTTTCATTGAATAACATTTAATCTTTTTCCCTATAGAATTTAATTTAATTTCCTTTTTATATTTTTAATGTAGTTCTTTTTCATTTTATCAGATCGGTTACTGTAGCCACAGTGACCTACAACTCAAGTTCTCCACCAATGAAAATCAAGCAGGGAGTGGTTGTTAACCTAGAACCAATCAGAATTGAACAAGCTCCCCTAAGATACAGTAAATCAGCCCAATGTAAATACAAGCGACTGGACAACAGAGGAGGGCAGAGTGAATTCAGTCCATATAAGTTCCATCCCTTTGCAAAGACAGTAGAGAGAAGCACCAAAGTAACCATTCATCTTCATCCAAACCTCATCCAAGCTTTTACAGAGAGCTCGAGTGAAAACCCAACAAACATGTAGAAAAGTAAAAAGCCAACTTCCATCTTCCTTTTCCCTTTTCCCTTTTTGTTTTCATAAAAGATACCAAGAAAAGTAGAGCAGTGGAAAGCGACAAAAGAAAGCCACCACCATCCCAATCAGACACCAAAGAAGGCCACCATCCTAACCACAGATCAAGGTTGGTTATTTTTATCACTAGAATGGGTCATCTGACATCATATCATTCACGTTTGGAAAACGAAAGGATACTTCTTTTGGAAACTAAAAAAACTCAACTTGTTCTATGTTTGGATCTTTTGTTTCCCTCAAATATGTTGCTTCTACTACTTCTTTCTTATTTCTTTATTTACTAGCTTTACTATTGGTTCTCTCCCTTCCAATAAATAGAAGATTTCACTTCCTCAATATAATAAATCAAGTTTCTCACCCTTAAAAAATGCTACCCATTTCCAGTTAAAATAAGTAAGAAAAACTGACAAACTCAAGTATATGTGACTACTTGCATAATATGTATCAACTGTACGAATTGTTGCACCTCCACGAAGACCAAATCTGTATCAACTGTGCAACAGACATGATCGCCACCACTAGCAAGCAACAATAATGAAAAGGAATAGACAAGGAATCAAGAATGACTCACCCCACTAAAAAAAGGAATAGTCATCCTACTAAAAAGAATGAAAACTCCTACCTTTATTTCCTCTGCACAAATGTAACTATCTAGCTTTGTAAAAGTTTGTTTGTTTGTTTTCTCACCTGCTGGAAGGTGATGTAAGCACTTACGTAAAAGCAGGCTAAGACCTGCTATAAATATGTATGATATCCCTCATAAGGAGGGCAGAGAATAAACGAGTGAAGTTGAGAAATCTCTCAAAGCCAAGACTTCGTCTTGAGGTGCCTAGGCACTAAGTGTTTGAGGAAATAATCTGGAGACACTCTTATCCTCCATTAAAAATATCACACAACAAAATCATCAAACCTTCAAAAAATTCCCGAACACAACTCGAACAATCTTCACCAGCATTTTTCACTCAGCATCACCCTGAAGACGCTAAACAAGAAGGAATCAAACCATTTCAACTAACAAGAATCATGTATGTCTGATAATCCTAGTACTAGTAAAATTATTTTGATTATTTAAACAAGAATGAAGAAGAAAACTATTTCTTAGATGGTATCTTAGATATCAAGAAAATCAAAGAGCAAACTAATTTTACCTTATTAGAAACCCAAAATTTTATCACCAAGTCATTTTTATCTAAACTATTTGATAGAAAAAATATAATTAAATATGGAAAGATGATAGGAGAAACAGCAATACCAATAGAACGGACCAAAGGAGATTTTCTAATTCAAATAATAAATAAGGAACAAATTAGAAAAAATTTATCAAAACTACAACAAGAAGAACGAAGTAAAATAGCTTATATTCATATTAGCACGATACAAATTATTTTTAAATCAACAATGAAATCAGGAATAAGTACGCCTATAGAACTAGAAATATGAGACGACAAACTCATTAATAATGAAGAGAGTATAATAGCAAAAGGACAAGGAAATTCAGGAGTACGAATAATTAAATTTGATATTAATTTACAAAAAGGTTTAAGTCTAACAGACGGAAAACTTGATTCCTCAATAATTATAAAATATGAACTAAAAAGAGAAAATTTTATGAGAGAAAATAGTAAACCATTTTTAGTAAGATATCAAATAAACTACGCTTTAACCAATAGTCATCATAGTTTAACATTCAAGGATAAAGAAGTTATTACCATAGAAAATTTATTTAAACCACTAATACATTTACAATCCCATAAAAATAATTAAATCAGACTATTCATCGAAGAATTAGCCTAAATGAATGACATCCCTCTAGAAGAATAACAAACAAATTAAAAGAATAAGAACAAGAAGAAAAAGAAGAGATAAAAAATATTACGATACTTCATCAATATGACAACAATAGTGAAATAAAGAAGCTACAAGAATTAATCCTAGAATTAAAAGATAAGATATAAATACTTCATTAAAATGCCTAATTCTCACCATATAAATAAGCTAATAGAAGGAATAGACGTTATAGATCTTACTTCAATAGATGAAATCATTATGGTTACACTAGAATTATCATACTTTGTCTCAGATAATGTAGAAGAACAAACGAGTATTGGAACTACAGAGACATTAGAGGAAGCTGTTTCAAAAACCAAATTAATTATCGATATAATAACTAGTCTAACTAAAATAAAACAAAAACTAATGAATAATTAAAACTTAGTTTCTTAAAAAGTATCGATAAGTTAGGAAAACTGAAATCTCTCTGCAAAACATAAAATTTGTATTGATTAAGTTATGTCACTATCTCCTTCCATAAGGAATAAACAAAAACTAAAGAAAATCAAAGTTACGTGAAAAACCATGCATATCAATTGCTTGGCATCAGATTCTTAGATTAACATCTTTATGTAACATCATGAGAATATATCAATTTGGAATGAAATTCTTTTGTAAGATTATTGATATTAGATCCTTCAAAAAAAGATTATTGATATCAGAGCCTACAAACCCAACCAAGTTAACCAACCCAAGAATCAAAATAAAGAATCAAAAATTAAAATGAGAAACGACAAAAATGTGCAACCCGATTCAACCCAACGGGCTCACTTTGACACCCCTATTCAAACGACCAGATTTAATTCTCAAAACGGCCAGGGCGGCTCTCCACTCCCAGCGGCGTCGTTTCCCCTGAAACGGCTCTAGAGGTTGAAATATCATAATGACAAAGAACAAATAAAGAGAAATACACAGTAAATCAAACTCAATTTAATAGAACACACACATAAATTAATATTGAGTTGTATTAAAAAAATAATTAGAACTCACAGTTGCAATTGCATGTAGATTACATTGATACAA